GGAGGAGGAGGAGGAGCTCCAAGGCCCCAGGGCCGTCCACAAGGAACGGCTCGGGGCGATAGCGCTGGTGCCAGAGAGAGAGAGAGTCCTGGGGGGGCCAGGGCGCGCTCCCGCCCTCCCAGGTCTACGATAGGGGCCCACAGGCGAACCCTACCCCTACGCCCCACGATTTCCGAGGGGGAGGGTGTTCCCTTCGCTCGGGAGCTCCCGAACGAAGTGAACCCCACCCTCCCCCTCAGAAATCGTGGGGCGTAGGGGTGGGGCTTGCATGTGCCCCCCTATACGACGAGGTGACGTCTTCAGCCTCAGCGCTCTGCCGCGGTGTCGGCCCCGTGCGGACCCCCGGGGGGCAGCAACAGTGGGCCGACCATGGGGTCGGCGCGGGCGCTGCTGAGGGGACAGGAGGGTGGGGTGGGGATCGGCGGATGCCGAGGTGGGTTCTGTCTGGCCCAGCCTAGCTGATCCGTGGGTCACGGGTGCCCCGGGTGGCTCAGGAGGGTTCGATACCTTCGACGGCCCCCAGGGCCCTGTGAGAGCCCCCCAGGGGCCAGAGACTCTGCACGAACGAGATGGGCACGGAAAGAATGGGTACAATGCTCAACAGCAGTTCCTGCTCATTCTGAACAGGCCTCGCTGTCCGCGCCGCCGCGGCCTGTGCCCACTCGAGACAGGAGGCCGCCTGCCCCACAGCGGCCGCTGTGGATTTGGGACAACAGTTGTTGTTGGGCATTGGACCCATGTTTTCCGTACCCATCTCGGGCGTCCAGAAGAGACCGCCCACGACTTGCCGCCACGAGATGCTTCCACGACGACGAGAGCCGCGCCTATGGCCACGCCAGGGAGGGCAGGCCGTCGAGACGCTGGCACACGGACTATTGCGTGTGGGCTCAGGAGGGGCTCCAGTCTTTTCGGGCCCCGCTCCTTTCCTGAGGGGAAATAAACACACAGACACAATGCATCCTCGACTTCCGCAGGAAGTATGGGAAACTATGGGAAGTGGGGGTAAGACAAAACCCCAGAAACTATGGGAAATATGGGGAATCTTTTTATTTGTGTGTATCTCCTCCTCCTCTCCCCCTCCTCCACCTCCCCCTCCCCCTCCCCCTCCCCCTCCTCCTCCTCCTCCCCTCCTCCTCCCCCGCCCAGAAACTATGGCTGAGAAAATATTGGGGAACTTTTTGTTTGTGTCGTCGTATTTGTGTCTTGGAGGTCACTGAGTGTAGAACTTAAGGCTCTGGGGCCCTGGAGCCCCTTCGTGGCCGAGGCCCGCCGTGGCCAGAGCAGCCCCACCGGTGCCCTGCTCAGCGCTCCTTCTGCTATGGTGAGGGCGTGCTTGAAGGACTGCCCCACCTAGTTAGGAGGAGGAGGAGGAGGAGGAGGAGGAGGAGGAGGATGAGGAGGAGGAGGAGGAGGAGGAGGAGCTTCCCTGCTCAGCGGATCCTTTATGGCACGGTGCCGTTTTTCATACATGCTCCGCGTGCGGATCATGTATGAAAAATGCAGGGATTCATCGGGGGCGGAAAAGAGGGGGGTGATGACTAGGGGGGGGTGGATATCATGGCGTGGGCCATGATATCTCCCCAGATTTCATGGCGCCTCTTCTTGTTTCATTACGTCCCTGGCCCCCCCGCTGGGCCGCGCACATGCCGCCGGTCATGATTTGCACCCCCCCCTCTTGGACGCCCCCTCTTGGCCGCTTCCGAATTCAGCATTAAAAACAAGGATGAGTTCATGCATACATTTATTTATACATTACTCATGTATTCAAAATCCTAGACTGTTAAAGATCCCATGTGCTAAAACCTGCCCTGTATGGTGAGGGCGTGCTTGAAGGAGTGCTCCCAGGAGGCCTTTCAGACCCTGGAGGGCTCCTCGTCGGGTGCCGGCGGCGGTGGAATATCCATGGCCAATCCACGATTTGGAGTTTCACTGGCTGCCAGGCCCTGGGTTCCTTGTCCGAGGCTTCTTGTTTTCATGCCCTCCCCGCAGCACGGTGGCTGTATGCACCAGCCCTGGGGCCAGGGAAGGCCTGATGGTCAAGCCCATCCTGCGAGGCGGCGGGGAGGTCAAAGAATCGGCCCTGTTGGTCTTGAACGTGTTTTTTTTCAAGTTTATCAGAACTTCCCCGGCGAACTTTAGGCCAACTTGTTGGATCCTTGGGCAAACACCTCACTTTCAACCCTTTGCCACAAGCTACAGTCGACCCGCACAGTAAGGGTGAGCGACTGGCCAAGGCCACCCCTGCATCCTTCCCCCTCGGCCCATCCTTGGCCGCTCTCGCTGGCCGCGCCCCGCTCGCAACGTGCCGGCATGGCCTTCCGAGGCCCCGGCATCTGGAGCGTGCACCTTTCAGGAGGGAGAGAACCACACAGACACAATGAATCGTCGACTTCCAGGAACAGATGGGAAGTGAGGGGGAAGACAAAAACCCAGGAAATACGTGAAAATATGGGGAATCCTTGTATTCGTGTGTATTGATTTGTGTGTCCTGGGGCCCCGTCAGCCTCTGCTGCCAGCTTCGACCCTGCGCGCGCTGCAGGCCCCCGCGCCAGCGTCTCGGGCAGGAGGTGCGCGGCCGACCGCCCCTCCGCGCCCAATACGCCTGCCAGGGACCCCCCCGCAGTTACCAGCCTGGAGCCTATCCCCATCCCTATGCCGAGGACGAGGACGAGGAGGAGGAGGAGGAGGAGGAGGAGGAGGAGGAGGAGGAGGAGGAGGAGGAGGAGGAGAGGGGAGGAGAGAGCAGCTGGGCATCTCCTCACCACGCTGCCAATCTTAGGGACTCCCTTATTTCTTGAGGGCGGATCCCCAAGATTGTCGTCGCCTTCTGGCGCGTCAATCTTAGGGATAAGGGGTACGTTCGGGGCTGGTAAAGCAGGGGGCACGGAGGGGGGGGGCGCCAAGGGCGCGCCGCGGCCCTGCGCGGCGCGGGCGGGAGCCGGCGGGGGGTCCGAGGTGGTCCAGCATTGGTTCTTTAGGAGGAAAATAACACAGACACAATTAATCGTCGGTCCCCAAGAAAATATGGGGAATCTTTTTATTTGTGTGTATTTATTTGTGTGTCCCAGGGCCCCTTCAGTTCTGGCGAGCGGTGGGGGGGCGATCGAGGCGCTGGGTTCGGGCAGGTGTTTTACTTCTGTGCGGCCCCGGGGGGCCGTGTTCTGGCCCCGGGGCCGTCAGCAAACTGTCAGTCGGCGGGTGCAAGAGTGCAAGAGCGGTGCAGGCGCCAGTCGGGCTGCGGGCGGGACACGCTGGACGTCGTCAAAAACAGCTCCATGGTGAAAAACTGGGTAGACTCCTGGAGGGGTCCGGAGATCGATTTTGAGTGGCTTTGGCTCCATCCCCCCTTCTGACCGATATTTTCGCGTCCCAACCAACTCAGACCCTCCGTCCACCTCCAAAACGCGGATGCATCGGCGATGCGGCTCGATGTGAGGCCCGATTCGCCCCACGCCGACGGCGCCGATGCCTCGCCGACGGTGCCGATGCATCCCCGATGCATCGGCGGTGCGTCGGCGATGCGGCGACGCCATGCGAGCGACGCAGGGAAAACCGTTCGACTGCGCGGGCGTTCGCGCAAGCAAGGTGCCCGCGTAATAGGTCGCGCGTGGGCCCCCCTCGCTTCGGAGGAGGAACATTTGACGGCCTCTCTCTTCCTCCTCCTCCTCCTCCTCCTCCTCCTCCTCCTCCTCCTCCTCCTCCTCCTCCTCCTCCTCCTCCTCCTCCTCCTCCTCCTCAATGCAGAGCGTTCCGTGCTGGCGGCCTGCGTGGGCTTCCGCGTGCGGTCGCTGCGTCATTTCGCGCGGAGCCCGCTTCATTTCAGGAGGAAGAGAAACACACAGACACAATTAATCCTCGATTCCCCCGAAAATATGGGAGAATGTGGGAAGTGGGGGGGGAGACAGAAACCCAGAACATATGGGAAAATATGGGGAATCTTTTTATTTGGGTGTATTTATTTGTGTGTCCCAGGGCCCCTTCAATGGAGGCGCAAGGGGGAGGTGAAGTATCGAGGGTTGCAGGAAGGGGGGGCCCTGAAGGGGCCCCCCCGGGGCCCCGAAGGTGCAGGACAGCCAGGAGGGGGAAAGCGGCGCAAACAGAACAAGTCATAGGTTTTCACTGACATAGAGGGGATCATGCAGGAACCTGAGGGGAAGGGGACCATCTGGGAAACATGGGTTGGAAGTCCTGGAGTCTGTATCGGTTTATGTGTGTCCCACGGTCCGCAGACGGCCCCTGGAGGCCGAAATGAAGGAAACGCCGCCGGGATTGAACAAATCATACCGTCGGAGATCTGGGGTCGCAACGACGAGGACGCCGAGGACGACGAGGACGACGAGGACGACGACGACGAAAACGATGACAACGGTGACGACGATGGCGGTGGCGGCGGCGATGACGACGACGATGACGACGCCAGGGATAACTGGGCGGCCCTGAAGTTCTACAGGAGGCAAGGCTTCGAGGCGACGTCGGACTGGCTGGGGTGGGGCGAGCTCTACTTCCTGCTGGTCAAGCCGCTCTGAGACCCCAGGCCGCCTGAGTGGGGCCGAGATAGGAGGAGGATGCGGATGCGGATGCGGAGGAAGAAGAGGCGGAGGAGGAGGAGGAGGAGGAGGAGGAGGAGGAGGAGGAGGAGGAGAAGGAGGAACGGTGGCCATTCTATCAAATGGGGGGATTTCCCCGACCGAACCACCTTCGTAGCATGTTACAACGCTTGCCAGATGACCGAACCAGAGCCAGCGTGATGGAGTTCGAGCGGCCCGAAAGGGCGTGGTATTCAACCCTCTGTCTGCAAATTGGCTTTGCGTCCAGGAGATCACTGACGAGCTGTTCAACATGGACACCGTCGCACTGGTTTGCACGCAGCAGGGAGCAGTAGGTCAGGACCTTGTTAGTGCAGTCGCGATGGCAGGATCGTTCTATTCAGTGGAATGTGGATGGACAGCCAACCCACACGGTTTGGCAATTCGGGGACAGAGCAAGAAGTTCCCGAGGAGTTGTATTAAAGGTTTCTTTCCACTGCCGGAAAGTATGACAGTAAGGGTGGGTGCAGTGAAATTGGGACGGAGCTCGTTGATAATGATTGTGGTGTTTTTTTTGGGTCCACCGTTACAGAACCGAGGTCGGGAGTCCAATAAGACTTGGCAATGAACGACTAAGGCGACAAAGACAGATCGCCGCTTGCGTTCATGGACGTGCATGGCCAGTTCGCGAAGGTGGATGGCATGACTGGCGATTGTCATCTCGGCGAGTTCAACTCCACCAGCGAAGCTTCTGGTGGTGAAAACCTTTTTCGAGAAGACGGGGCCGACATACTTCAACAACAGTGTGGCCAAAACGCAGGACTACATATGCGCACTTGCTGAGTGGGTTGAGCTATGCGATGCAAGAAACAGTTCGCCGGCGAACGCGTGGACGTTGCAGACCGCGGGCTCTAGCTGTAGCTGTGTGCGTCGGCGTTGAAATAGTGATTGGGCCGTACATAAACGCAAAGTCTACACCGTGAGCGTTCACGATAGCAGTGGCCATTGTGTTGGGAGGGAGGAGTTCGCCAAGCAGATCGAGAATGGTCCTCGGCAGAAGCGACAGGATCTTTGCAACAAAGATAGGGAGGAGGTGTCTGACTACGTGAATCAAGCACTGCATGAGGCGATCCAAGGCGCTGCGCGAACACGGTGTTCTTCGGGCCAAGACGACACGGAATGCCACCGAGCGTATGCGAGAGAAGTACGAGATCTGCTGCGGCATAGGCGACGAATTCGTCAGCATTGTGCCTAGTACGCGGATGATCAAGGAGAGACAGAGGAGCAAGGTTTTAATATCGCGGGGGAGGTGGCGGACTCCCAGGCAGCATCGTACTCACTTATGCGGCACCGCCACTGGCGCCGACGGCGACAAGGGTGATTCGTCGATGCTGACCTTGCCAGGACAGGAGTTCGAAGTGGTTTGGATCGCGCAGCCGTCGAAACTAGCTTTGCCAGTGCAGGAGCTCGAAATAGTTGGGGCCAATAGATCGTCGAAGCTGGCGCTGCCAGGACACGCGCCCGAAGGGATCGGGAACGAATGGGGGAGCTGTCTTTTTGGGGATGAGAGTTATCGGGGGTGGAGTTGGTTGATGAAGGCGCACCAAGCAAGCGTACTGAATGGATTGTGGCGAGGCATAACATCAGGGTCGGATTGCAAGTGCGCAGCACGTGGATGAGACAGAAGGATGTAAACGCGGCAGCGAGGTGACGGAGATGAGACGCGACGAGTCTATGCGAGTGGCGACTTAAGGTGGCAAGATTGCCGGCGCAGCGATGCAGAGGAGGACCCAACCGAGTATAGGGCGACGCCAAGTTTCAGGGGCCGCGGGGGACTGGGCCCAGAAGTTGATGAAGGAAGGTCCCTGAGGCGGGTGCTCGGCGGTGGAGTTCACAAGGGTGGCAGCTGAAGGAAGAAATTGCCCCGTCTGTTTTTGCGGAGTGCACGCGGGAGACGGTGCGCGGGGAGGTGAACGCTTTGAGATCAGCGGCGTGGAAAGTTAAGCTCTGGCGAGCTGCGCCGCCTTGGGTTTCGAGCGCCGCGGTCTCAGAGTGCATGGCGTTTCCAAGGTGGGCAAACAAACCTATGGTAAGCCGCAGTTTTGGAGTTGGATGCGCGTCGGAGGCGGGGGATCTAGTCCACTGTTTAAAGTGTTTCGAAAAGCGATGGTGGGAGGTATGCTGATTGCGCAACGGCTCCGGGTGCTGCGGTTAAAAAGGCTCGCGCTGCTCATGTTGGGACAGGCAGTGAGAAGGGCGGGGCCTTTGAGGAGCGAGTGGCGACGATCGCGCGCCTTGGGGAAGTTGCATTACAGACATTTGCTGCAAAAGGCGCCGACGGGCAGAATGCCGAGCTGGGCGCATGCTGCGATGCAGCAAAAAAGGAGGGAAGGAGCGGTTGTAGGTCAGATGCGAAGATCTGGGGGACTGAACAGAGTGCGGAGTCGATGCGCTGGGCGGGTCCGCGCAGCGGCGGGCGCGCTCTTCTGTGCGCTGAAGGCCAAGCTCTACCAGGTCATCGTGACACATCTTGACGGGATACATGTCACTTATTTGCTGGGCCCCGTGGGATGGGTGCCTGTTGCGTGCGAGGGTTCGGCCGACTCGCGCCGGGGGGGGGGGCGGGGGGGCGGGGCGGGCGGCCCCGCGACGGCGCCCCTGGTCCGCGACGGCGCATTCGAGGGGCCGGGTAAATTCTGCCCTGAAAGGGAGGTCGGCGGTGGAGGCTGCGAACCCGTGGGCGACGACACAAGAGCAGGCGGCAGTCGCGCGATTGGGGGATTGCGCCGCAGATGCGTTTGCATTCAGCAAAGTGAAACAGCGACCTAGATATGCGAGGACAAACGCAGACGGATAATTGGGGGGCCGCGGCCGGGGCTGAATGCGTCGACGCAGGGGGCGGATCAGGATCGTTGCAACTGGGGGGGGGGGGGGGGATGTATGGTGCTTTTCTGTCGGGCCGCTCGGCCGCGGCAGCGAGATATCTGGGCGCGGGGGCGCCGCGAGATTCACCGCGAGTGCGGGGGCGAGGCGTCGCGTCTTAGCAGGCGAATCAGCACGGCGGGCAGTTGGTAGTTTTTGGGCAGCGAATGCGGCGATAAATCGGGGGTGTCGACGTTCGAAAGATTTGCGGGCACTGTGAGTTTGACAGACCGAGGCGCTTGCGAATCAGGGCGGTCAGACGCGCGCATCCGTCTTGCATGGGCTCGAAGGGCCTCTGGCCAAGAGGGGGGCGGGGGGGGCGGTCCTCGGGGGGGTTGCCGAGGGGGAGGGGGCGGGGGGCGGGGGCGGTCTGATCCAGTCATCAATGGACTTGGATATGATTTTCATGATAAAACGTGCCAGCGTCGTCGTCGAGGCCAGGGCTCGGAGACTAAAGCGGCTGCGTCGCCCTCTCGCTGACGCAGGGGCGGCTGAGCAGGTTGGGCGCGGAGTTCGGGGGGGCGTTGGTGGATGGGAAGCCCCGGGGGGTCACGGGTGGCGCGGAGCGGCGGACAGGCGCCCTTTGAGCCCGACAGTGGCTTCATTTTTTTGGGCGGCTCGCGTTCGCGATGTTGGAGACTGCCCCTTGGCGGGGCACGCGCGCCAGCCTTCTCGGCCAATGGCCGAGGGGGAGGGGCCCGGTTGGATCTGGCTGGCTCGAGAGTTCGCTTCGCGTGCGATCGTGGAAGCCACGGGCTGGCCCAGGACGAGACGTCGGCGGGCGGCGGATGTCGGCCTTTTGCGGAGGGCGAGCAGGGCGAGCCGCTTTCCCACGTCGGGCGAGGCGCGCGTCACCTCATGCACTGCGACATGCGGTCGCATGGGCAAGGGGCACTGCTCCTCGGCGTACGCGCGGGCGCAAAGGCGCATGGGTCGGTCGCGCGTTCGAGAGAGGTCTTCACGCGGATCGGGGTCTGTCGAGTTCGGCGGCGCCGCTGGCCACGGCGCGCCGCCCTTTGCGCGGGCGTCGCGCTGAGCGGCCTCGGAGATCGTGGCGACGTGTTCGGATGTCGCATCTCTCCTTCCCTGCTGAGCGCGCATCAGATTGGGCCCGGCGCTGGGGTCCTCGGGGGCCCGGGCGGGGGGGCGAGCGACGAGGAGGCCCGGGTCATCAGCGGGGCCAGGACAGCGAGCCGGTCATTCCCAGGACGATGGCGGTCCAGTTGGGCGCGGGAATGCGGGCGATGGCGCGCGCGACCAGCGGGCGCGTGCCCGCCCCGGCGGGTCGTCCGATGGCCGGGTCGGGCAAGCGAAAAATGCCCGCGGCGCCTTAGAGCGGGGGTGGGCCCGATGCGCCCGCGGGGGCCCGCCGAGATGCCGCCGTTTTCTACAGGTCTGTCAGGTATCGAGAGTTGGTAGCAGGCGAACGCGTCGCAGCGAGCACGCAGACATCGTGCATCGCCAGCTCGGATGCCGATGCTGCCCGAGGGGGGCGCGGGAGAGGATTCGTTGGAATGGGCGAGGGGCATCGCGCGCAGTCCCATGCTCGACGCCAAGAGGACGCGGCCCGCCATGAGTCCAGGGCGACGCGTTGCAGTCGCCGGCGACGAGACGTTGGCCGAGAAGTTGAACGCGGCCCAGTTCGAGTCGCGGGCAGGGGTCGGGACGCGCGGGCAAGGGTCGGGGCGGATCCAGCTCAGTTCGAGTGCCAGCTGAAGAGGAGCCCGCCAGGGATGCCAGCTCTGGACTCACGCGCGCGGGGGGCGAGGCATTCAGGGGTGGATTTTACCTCGGCCGCTGGCTCGGCCCCCGCCGGCGGGGGCTTCGGTGCCTGTCCACTGCGATGTGCTGGCCGCTTCCTGGCGGCGTCCCGCGCCCGGATGTTCGTGGCCCCTGTGGGGCGCTCCTCGAGGCCGAACCCTTTCTGGGTGCGCGATCGGACTTGAGTCGTGACTGGGAGCGCAGTAGTAGTGGTAGTAGTCGTACTAGTAGTGGTCGTAGTCGTAGTATTACTAGTCGTAGCCGTCATACTGTAGTAGTAGTCGCACTTCTTCCACTAGTAGTAGTTGCAGTAGTCGCGGTAGTC